TCGAACTGATCGAATTCTGACTAGGGAAATAAGGGAACTAGTAATACATCAAATCAAATTCTTCATTGGCAAACTACACAGTCGAAGGTGAGAATTCACCATAGTTTCCTTTGGAAATCAAGAATACGCAGATCACAAGGTGTGGTCTGCTTGATTATCAGAAATGAAAATTTCTTAAGAAACAAGCAAAATAGATACTAATAATGGAATAAGATGTTGTGCATTTCATTGATATAAGCTTATGCACTTTATATTGATTAAAAGTAAACGAAGCGCCTACTTTTATCAGGATACAGTTTAGTACAATTCTTCCCACTAATAAATTTGAACAAAGCGAAAATAACAAATGAGACAGGAGTGTATGAGCTCGTGTTTCATTATTTTGCGGATTCTTCTCAAATGCCCTACAACCTGAACAATACAAAAAAACAAATAATAAAAAAGGGTTGAACATACGTTTTTCGCGTTGACAAGGAGTAATTGGTTATCAGTCGTCACACAACTACTGACGCTAACCTGTGGTTGACGTAAAGAGAAAAAAAGCATTTCTCAACGTCTAACAAAGTCGACCAATAAATAAGAAGATAAGTTGAGTAACAATACCTTCATAAAGTCTATCATTTTATGAGGAAATTCTATCCAGCTTGCATTCCTAAAGACTAACTTTTTAATCTCATTTAATATAATATCGTGTCTAGTGAGGAGAAGGCCTATAATCAACGTGTAGAGTGGGAAGAACATTTACCTCTTTCAGTCACAATTAAAATGATAAATGAATTGAAACAAATTTACTGAAGTCTGGAGATGCTGCATTAAGTTGGAAAAAAGGATTACATCACCATTGGGTAAATAATACCTTTTTCTGCTTACACCCATGTTTTTCAATTACACTTAAGAGACTGGTTCACTTCAAGCTTTCTGACAGAGTGCAAAAAGGTATACGAAGAAATAGATTTACGATACATAGACTGACTTGTGAGTTAAATTCAATCAATTAAGTGCTATGAGATGATAAACTTTCTCATGATCTGATGAATAATTTTTAGCACATTGTTTTACTTACAATTTGGGCATTAAAACCTTCATTATCTATAAGTTTAGATACCACTAGGTAAACACAAAATCCATTCACTGGTTACTCTCTGTTAATTAAGGTCATAAGGTTTACTGAATGCTGAAGCATATATTTGTACACAGGTGTTTTCTTTCTAAGAACTTCTTTATCATTGTGTAAGCCAAATATCACTTGGTCAACATTATGTAACATTTTACAAGTGAATATAAGTTGCCAAAATTAGTGCATACTATGGAATATAGGTAAAATAAAGTGTAGTAGCGTTGCCAAACCAGACGTTTAACAATGACATCAGGTGAGAGGAAATATTTAGATGTGTTCATCTATTTTATGTTGACTTCATTTGTATTAGCTATGATCATTCTATATCCATTGAATAAACAAATTTCACTGCAGCCACACTTTCATTGTAGGCCAACAACCTTATCGTTCTGCATAACACAGAAAATACCAAAAGCCGTTAAAGTCTTATTGTATCCACCTCAAAAATTAATCATTCTGAAGCATGAAACAAGCATGCAGACAATTTCAACACTAACAGGTGAAAGTGGCTACACAGAGTTCAATGTTTCAAGTAAACAGAATGGAGAATAAAAAGCACTAATTTGTTTTTTAAGATGCTAAATAATGTTCCAACTTTCATTGATACATGATTTACGGTACCTTTTCTTCTTGACCTAATTACATGCTTATCATTTAAGCCTGACTCTGTGTCTCGAAGTTTTTAGTTGCTACGATTAGACATAGCAATTTTCGGTGGATGTTTTGTTTTTATCCTCAGGGACTACGTTTTTGTGAAACTGTCAGAAGTCAAGATACAGAAATTTGTGTTCGCTACTGAAGTTTGCAGCTTTCCGTCATAAATTGGTTATTTAAATCTGCCTTTCAATAAAACTTTAAGACTACGTCAGAATGAAGTTAGTTTTGAATAAGCTATGTAGAAAGACAGTAACAGTGTCTCCATAGAACCATATAGCTCAGAGGACGGAACTATACCACATTAGCTATAAATCCTCTCCATCATTTCAACTTTTTTATTTCTCTATGTTTACTATGTTATAGACTATAGTGTAATCAGTCGTCATTACTTACAGCCTATTAGGTCGTTACTTTCCAACCATCTCTTTACTTGATTGTTATAAAAAAGCTTAAAAGCATAAAGCAGTTTAGTCTCTTTTTAACTGGCTTGTGTTCATAATTCTTAAAATCATAGAAGTGTCTTTCATCAAACATCACGGAAATATTCAACAGAATTGTGGTGAAGTTATTTTATTATTTTTCTGCTTGTGAAAAATACCCAGTAGTATTTTTAACGTATGATCTTGTTATTGCAACCACTTTTCAGCATAACTTTACCATGAATATGAAATGTTTTCAGACATAAGAAACTGTTCAGAGTTTAGCGTTAACTTTCTTACAATTAGAAAGGCGTTGCCTGGTTAGACTACTCAATTGTCTTTACATTTACTATTCAAGAAGTTGGATAGATTCAGTATTTTTATTTATTTATGTCCTTCGTGAGTATTAGACTCGCCGTAGCTGTAAAAGAAACTGACAAACTCGTAGATACATCCTGAATCTACAATCAGGAGAGTAATTCAGTATTAGTTTGTTCCTAGTGAAGAGCATTTGCATTGCTATCAAAAGTCTGCTTATGATTTTAAATATGCTCAAAATACCGTTTTACCAAATTTATGTCAGTGAACACAATAGAAAAGAAAGGAATCTACCATCACCCTTCCTGTGATATCTAGAATTACTCGATGTGACAAAATTTCCTCCAAATGAATACACTGTTTCCATTCACCTAAAGCTCTGCATTGAAAATGCCACTACGACTGAGATTAAAACGTTTGCCTGTGAAAATTAAAGCGAGGCGGGTGTTAACACTAATGGAAAATTCAAAAAACACTAGATGCGAATAATAAAATGGATGTAATTAAAATGATTGACACCGGGACGGAAAAGTCAAGAGCCCATGTCTGCGGTCAGTAAAGAGAAACGTGGACGGGCTGAATTTGGAGGTTTCCTTAGTAACCAAAATAAAAGCAATAAATGTGATTGGGCAAATTTTTCGTGAAAGCAGCTGGAACTTGTATGATGCGTGCCTTCAATTAAGATAAGTGAAGCAGAGTCAACTGGTTTACTGATGAAGCGTAATATAGCAATTCAGAACGAGATTGTGTGTTTGTTTGTTTGTTAAAGATGCAGTCTTGAAACAGTAGCTTTATATGAATTTCGTAACGATAGGGAATGTTTGTCCAGTTCTTTTAAATTTATTTGATGCACAAGAATCAGTGAGTTCCCTGATGAAAATATTTTACCGAAAACAGTTAACCATTCAACGTTTTCAACTGTTGGACATTTCACTCAATATCCTGCGTGTCAACAATGCCAGCTTCTCTGTTAATATATATATATATATATATCCTAAAAGTGAAGCATTCATGTATAGTCCTCACATACACATACACTCGTTTAATTAACTATATCACTGCCTTTTAAATTCATGCATAACTTCCTGTTTTCCATAAACAATAAACAACAATAACAACAACAAGCGAGAGAGAGAGAGAAAAACGAATATTAAGAATTCCAAAATTTAGCTCACTATTAGTAATAAAATTAATGAATGAGGATGATAGTATCAGTAGTAGTACTGGCAGCCTTGGTATTCATCAGAATATAAATTTAAAAAGACCATTCAATGTGTTGTTTTCTTTTGTTGTTGTATTTTCTCTAAATATTTTGTCATTACATGTTCATTAATCCCTTCCAGCTTGTCATAAACAATACTAGCAATGATGATATATCCCTATACGTAATTTACTCAGCATAAATTAAATAAATACTATGAAAGAATAAAAGAGGAAGAACAGGGTAAGGGGAAAATAAGCAGAAGGATGAATAAAACAAAGACGAGAATTCTTCAAGCGGCATAACCGATGAGCAGATAGTCCCCGTATTCTCTAAAAAAAAGGATTTTTGTTTTTATCATGTGTCACCACTTCTTCCTAAAAAACTTGGAATTTTGTGAATATCATTATAAAAGTAAAAACGTGTTGATCATTTAGCCTACGCGTCGGTCTGTCTATTCGCAAGTCATTGTATTCGATCTCAGAACAACTCTAAACCACAGTTAATGATCCGATAAATTGTTAGAAAACTGTTCTTACACTTATTGCAGGTAAATCATAGGGGGTATGGAATAGGGACCGATTTGTTAGTGATAAACGATTTGAGAGTATATGGCTATTTGCACAACCAGGAGTCTTAAATTTAAAGGCAAGACTAGTACATTTGATTGCTAAATGGCTTACACTGTTATCAAACTAAGTGTATTTTTAAAAAAATACAAAATAAACGATACTTTTTAGATTATAAGTAAGAAAGTTCCGTAAGCGTAAATTTTGGTCTGAGTATTGTGAAGGTATTCATCTTTCAAGCGTTGGTTTTCAGTGATTTAATTGATTTCAATGTTGATCACGAGTTGACCTCAGTTAGAGAACTACTGAGGACCATAGAGTGCTGGACAGCTGTTTCGTTCCTGCCTGGGACTCTTCAACAACTATCACCTATGCCCCCACCAGGGGTTGGAGCCAGGACTTTCAAGTTACAGCCACTGGGACAGAAAACAATATCTGAATAGTAAACGAGTTATTCATCTTTGTCTAGGTGTACAGCTATAATCAGTCACGGGAATCAATGCAATCGAACTCACTTTCATACTTACACGAATATTATTACGAATGCAGGCAGTATTACTGAAAGTTCAACAAGTTATTATTAAATGGTAAAATAAACTCTGAGTTTTAAAAAAATAAATCATGAAGTTCTTTTTTTAATTTTCAAGATTAAGCAACCAATATTTTCTTTATAAGTTAGAAAATGAAAAATGAAGTAAAAGCACAACTAATTTACTCACCAACATATTGTCGTAAGCTGATAATTGCTATAAATATAACCATTAGTCCACCAGTAAATTGATAATTTAATTGATCAATAAAATCGACACCTTCACCACCATATGGAGTTTTGAATAATCTTCCCAATTTGAATACAAATCCACCATCTAATAGACCTCCAGCTCCACGTGCCATGATATGGTGTAGTTTATTAAATCACTAGATGGAGACTGTGATCTCCAGGTTAGCAAACAGACTTTGTCTGGTGTGTGTAACAATAACTTGCAAGAAATCAAGTACAACTGTTAATTTCTTTTTAAATTATAACAAAATCCAGTATGCTATAGAGTGAGATTTTTATTTTGGGTAAAGAAGGATGGAATAATTCGGTTGAGTTAGTTTATTTGTTGATGAAATGTGAAAGTCAAGTTAGTTAATGAGTACGTCGGTATAGCTGAGATAATTTGAATGTATGAATAGAATACAAGGGTGATTGAATTAACAAAAACATTGATTTGACGTAAACGATGATGTAAGTATCCTCTGAACACTGTCTGAGTAAACTGTTCATTTTATACAGGGAATCAGATAAGTTTTGTCCGCTTCTTCTGAATTAGTTTCTATGATGTTGCCTTTAGTTTTAATATCACTTATATTGTGTAAGCTTAAATTCGTTATGCTTACAATCCACTAAACTTTGAATCAGAATGAGATTTAAAATTTGTAATTAATCCTTGATTGTTGGTTAGTTAAATTATAGTTACAGTTGATTTGTAGATTTGAGGATGCAGAATTTCAGGGCATACATTCAGTTAACTATGAAATGTAGTTATGTAAGAGGAAGGGAATTAGGGAGAGCAAGAGCAAGTGAATGAGACAGAGTTTGTCTATTTGATGCTGATGTCAGTAGTACTCTAAATCGCCACTAGCACCAGTAATACCACTATCCCCACCGCTTCTGCTGTTACTGCTACTCTTCCGAACAATGGTAGCAGTGATTTTTCCTACTTGTAATCAAGAAACAGTTTTTACGTGACATTACATTCATTTAGATTAATTTGTCTTTTAAAATTCCAATCAGTCAGTAATATCGGTAAGTTTGAACAGGCAAGATCAGTGTACATTGGATTCATAGGGTATGTTAGTACAAATATGTACAAGATAGTGGAAATAGTATACAGAACATGAAAACATTAGATGGGCATGAGAATAATTATTCCAGTGGGCTTTTATTCCTTCAAGTTGTCTTCCTGCCTTCTTGCTTTTCTGTTTTCTCTTGTTTGTGTTTGTTCGGTTTTTGAAGGAACTAAAAGTTGACAACTCTTCTCATTATATCAGTAATGTTTAAAAGTGATGGAGAAAGCATGTCTATGAAGATATGATAATCGTGAAGGCAAATTTTAACTGGGTTCGTTGTCTAATGGAAACAATGCTGACTGGCAATGTCTTTTATCAAATATCCAAAAGAAGTGTAGGAAATAATTAAAATTTTAATGGATATAATGCAATTGATAAGGGCCTAAATCATATAATCTTGCGAAATAATTTAATCCTTTTCCAACTGGTTCGATAAACTTCTGCTATGATAACAAAATCAAATCAGACTCTTCATCATTCTCCACACTTCTTTCCTTGAATTCACTTAATTTTTGATTTTGAAATTAATTTTTGTGGCATAGGATAACTAAGCTGATTTGCATGTCTGTACACTCGTGTGTCTGTTTGCCCATTACTTATATATATGCGTATTTGGCAAGTGTCTGTCTCAGTGTTCATTTTTCCCAAAATATATATGTGGATTGTTTGTATTGACTTGTGTATATATAAATGTGTTCACGTGTGTTTGTGTGTGTGTTTAGACATGTGTTTATGTTTATCCATTTAAGGCAGATGAGAAAGACGAAGATGATGACAATTATGTTGATGAAGTACAGAGAGCATCAATAGCGTAAGGTAATACATAGAGGCGGACAAGTCCGTAAGGGACTCATATCGAATTTTAAAGGATGTCAATGAGAGAAAACAATAATAACAGAAAAGGGAGAGTGTTCATACACTCACAATTACCCAAGCATACATACGCGCACTCACATACACATAGGTTCACATACATACATGCATACCTACAATCAGAGGTCTATCACAGATCAAATTGTAGAAAACGACACAGGTCTGATATTATTATAATGGCCACAAGTACAAAAACACTGACAACAAACGGACATATATATGGCCCAACATTCAATGAGATGCGCTTTGTTGTAGGATGTGTTCTTAGTTAGCGTGTATGTCATGACTCTTATATGCTGCTTTTTTAATAAAAAAAAATTAAGGGTTCGATTTACCCATGACCAGTAGGGCTGTTCATTGTTATTCATCTCAACATAAAATATGTCTGCCTTGGGCTACTTCTACTACTATTACTACTACTACTACTACTACTACTGCTACTATTAATAACAATAATACCAGGGATGAATAACTGAGTGTGATTTCAAATGTAATTTAGTTTTCAAAATTTGAGTGTGTGTCAGAGTATGTCTGTTACTATGAGTTTGTTGTAAAATTCAATTTTCAATATATGTTCTCAATCATTTCCTGAGTTTAATACACATTTCCTAATTTAGCTAGATGGTAAAATGTGTGTATGGTTATCACTTTACCTGAACTATTCAACTGTTTATTATGTGCAGTTTGCAAATTATAACATTGTACTTAATGTGAAATACTTAGGTTGAAATGAAGTAAATTTTTATCCTTTACACAATATCACAGTTAGATATCGTAACAATGCAATCAGAAAGTCTCATTGAGCAGAGAGAGGAGGGGTGCAAAGATTAGCGGATGAAATGATTTTTGCCTGTTATTCCTGGAAAAGAAACTTAACAGGTGCATGCACCAAAAAGGCTTTTGAGCATTACCGAGATTCCTTTTGGCTGAAAGCACAATTGATCCTACTGGTTATTCAGCCTTTCCAGTATCTTGGGACAGAGCACAAGTTTATTACAACTACTGTAGGGTAATCTTTATTGTCGGCCAGAACTGATGGAAGTCAAACAGGTTTTCAACATGCAGTTTATAGGAAATAACCAGTTTCTAATGTAGTCTACTGTAATTATCCGTATTTACTTATCCTTGTGGCTAACCATATAAAGAACACACTAGGAAGGCACTACATTTTTCTCATATAAACTGACTAGGATTGACCTACAAGACATTGTAAAACTATTCTTGAACTTTTACTATGTAAAGGACGAGTAGTAATATGTACATGTTTAATTATTATATTAGCAAGCAGCTGGTAAATTGAACGAAGGTAAACATTATCTTCCTTTGCTGTTATCATTTTGCCTCAGGGTGAATCCATTCACTTTTGTCGTGAACATCAATAACCTTTAGTCGTAGTACAGTCAGAAAATCAATAAATATTTTACTAAACAATGTTTAGCATTCATTGATTGTTAATGCCATGTTCTGCTGATGAAACTCTATCGACTAACTGTTTCACCGCTAGGTAGTCTGATAGGGTAAATTTGTTCCCCTTTGTTCGCTAATATCACTATCTCGATTTTAAACCATTACTGGGACTTAGTCAACTATGAGTCAGATGTATATGGTAGGATTTATTGCTAAGTTGTTTAAGTAGTCTTTAAGTCTGTATCTTATTTATTTATATAAACTGATCTACAGTAAGAGAAGGAATCTCTCAGAGAAATCTTTTAATTGTCTAGAGCAGCTGATATGTATATATGTTTCTTCACATTCCCAGTGGAGCATAGGGCTTCAAGCTAGAGGCCTGAAGTTTCTGTAGCAGTGTTTATTTTTACAGGATGGGGTTGCCCAACCTTTCCTCCTTACCAGCTTTTATTACTGTCTTAGCGAGGAAAAAGGAGTGCGTCGAGGCCGGGGGTCGAATCCCGGGCCATGTGCATGGTTGGAGAGGGTCCTATATATATATATATATAATTTCAATGTCCGTCATTTTACTGTCCCGTATTCAACAAATATTACTAATGTCTAATTAATTACACATGACCAGCTTACTCCACATATAGTTGTAACTGTAGTGGTTTCTTATTGTCAACAGAAAGAATGCAGAGAATCTGTGTAACTCATCATATAAAAGAATAAAAATTTAGAAGATAGTAAGAAGAACAGTAAAACAATGGAAGAAATTAATAAAACAATGAGAACAATACGCAGATGTTTATAACACATTAAAGAAAATGATTGACAAATGGGCGATTTAAATACTTTTCCAAATTGTGATACAAAGGGGGAATCAGTTCACCCAGTAAATAACTTAAAATATGCAAAAGTGGTAGTAAAACGAAATACTTGAATGGAGAGTACTGCTACTACTTATGATAATAACAATGCTAGTAGTGCTATTCAGTGCATCATATATATATATCAAATAGGTAATTAAATAAGGCGTAAAATAAATATACTCATGGAAAAGAAAAATACTATTTCGACCAAATAGTTATATTTATATTGTCATTCTCGTTACCTATGTTCTTAATCTCAGCCGTCAGTCGCCTTTATGTACTCCATAATTCTTATTTGAATAGATATAAACTTGACAGATCTATGTTTCATATGCCATAAGTGCGTTTTCTAGTAGACGCTGGGGGGGGGTAGGAGTAACTGAAGAGTATTGAGCATGAAGGCGATAAATGCAATGAAATGGTTGAGGAATTAACCAGTAGGATGAATATAATACTGACTATGACGTTTACGAAACTGAAGTTAAATGTCTCGTTTGAAACAAGTGCAAACCGATGTTTTCTGCAGATGCATTTTTAACGCCAAAAAGCACGGATTTGTTGAGTGTTGAGTTAGGTTTTAATAGTCCAAAGTTTTGTTCGAACTTCGAGCATACAAACAATTCTAGCACTGTGGTGGAGTCAGGACCTTGTTGAAATCATATATATATATATATATATATATATATATATATGGTTTAAAAACCACTTGCCTTAAACTACTACGTTTGACAATCAATGAAATATAAGTAATGGTATCGTCGAATAAATAGGCAGCGTTCTGAATTAATCACTGTTGTGAAATAGGAAATATATTCACTAATAGTAAGGAAACATTAGACAGTAGGGAGTGCTGAATAATTTCGAACATTCTTTTTCAAACTTTTAACTTCAGTGTCGTATCTGCTGATTTCCTCACTCAGACAG